CTTCAGGGCTCCAGGGCGCCCAGGTCAGAAAACAGCCCCCCCCCCCGCCGTGGACGAGGGATAGAGCGAGCAGCAGAACGACGTAATGGTATTTTCATTGTCATGTGATAGGAATGTCCTCGCGCTCGATTGCCAGAACACACATCAACTGGTTGACCGTGCCCTCTTGGCGGCAGAGCGGGCAAGTCGACTGCAAACCGCGCGCGCACGCACACACACACACACACACACGCACACACACAGGGAAACAGGAACGAGGGCGCGAGAGGGTGGACAGGGGGGGGGGGGGGATCGCCAGTCGAGCGGTTAGACCATGGGGCGGGGGGAATGCTTTTTGCTGCCTGCGTTTGTCCCACAAACAGAGCCCACAGGGAGCCAAAATGAGCACGCACATTCTCCACCAGCCAGGAATAGATGCACTCCCAACAAAAGACATGCCCACAAGTGGAGGCTGCCGGCCACGACATCTGTTGCGAAAGACACAGGGAACAGGGCGAACCGAAATCCACGTCGAGTCGCGGACCAACACCGCCGCCCCCTAGGGCACTCGCTGATATTGAACCCTCTGCCGGGGGCACGGCACCACCAGCAACATCCCGCACAGCCTGCTCCGGAGCGCTGGCCATCAAGGCACGCGCGGCATCGCGGGTGCTGGCCGACAACACGAAATCCAGGGCCGACACAATTGCCTCCACCAGCTTCAGGACCCCTACCGTGCGGAAGGAATGTCGAGCGCCGGAGGCCCGCGAATGTATGGGGAAAAAGACGTCCGGCGCGCCTCGGGTATACAGCTATTCGGATAGGTGACAGTGGGGGCGTCCATCGCGAAGGTGGGGATGAGTGTGTGTGTGTGTGTGTGTGTGTGGTCGGTAAGTGGATGAGCGGGCGAATGGGTAAGTGGAGCTGACGTGGTGCAGTTGCGCACATAGCCGAGGGAAAAGATCCGACGTGAGAGGGAGAGGTAGTGCCATGAGGAGAGGTCCGATTCCGCTGGGCCGAGGAAAAAGAGAGCCGTGTGAAACTGGCCGAGGATCTGGCCCAGTTGCGGCGCCAAGATCCGGGCATGGCTGGTCAGGGCCATGGCTCGGGTGGTTTCGGCGGCCCCCGACGGTGCGAGCATCAAATGGCCCAGGTCCATGGACGATGTGGCAGAAAGCAACGGCAGGCTGGCCTCGTCAATGCTGGCGTCGTAGCCGGCGTCGCGGCTCGGCACAGCTGGCCGCATATTTGCCATTGGCTCGCCCGCTGGCTGGTGTGTCCAAGCTGCTCGCAGACGAAGGCAGATGACAATGCAGCGGATGACCGCCTGACGCAGGGGCTTAGCGAAGCCCTCGGTAGCCAGGGCATGCGGCAAGACGACGGATGAAACGATGAAAAGGAGTGTACGCTATTCCGCCGGCAAGTTTGTGTGTGGTTGCATGGGTGGATGGATGCGCATGCGCATGTGCATGTGTCAGGGCCGGCAGTGGTGGTGGGGGGGGGGAGAGAGAGAGAGAGAGAGAGAGAGAGAGAGAGAGAGAGAGAGGCAGCAGAACATGTTGGCGCACAAACAGCCCCGGAGGATCCAGCGGCACAAAGGCACCGCCCTGTGATGTCAACGGATGTGGCTTCGGAGGGAGCGAGACCCGAAGATCAGCATACTCCTCCCCAGGGGTGGACCCTGTTTCGTTTGTTTCGTTTGTTTCGTTTGTTTCGTTTGACCGGTGCATGGAGGGAGGAATGAGTAGGAGGAGTTAGCCATCACGGCTTGGCCGGCATGCGCGCGAGCGTGCTCCCCTCGCCTTTCCCCTGCTATGCCATGCCGGATGCTCGAGGCCGCGCATCATGAGGAGCCCCATTCGTACCAAAAGCCAAATAGGACAGATGGTAAAGCGACGATGTGATCGCTTCGATGTGCGGGCGGTAACGGGTCACACGTTCGGGCCCTGGAAATGGCGGACGAGAGAGGCAGACCGCAGGTCAGTGAAACCCACAATCGCGACCAAACAGCCACCCAGCCTTTGGGATGCGGCGGGGGGGGGGGGAGGAAGAAAAAAAAGCCCCAAAGCAAAGCCCACATGACGCCACACGCACCGGCCACAGCGCGGGCTGTATCGGTGGCCATCCGCAAGAAGTGTCGAAGAGTGTCCCGGTCCCGCCGGGACGCACAGATCATGTCGGAGCGCGTCGCGCGCGACATAATGCCCAAGGGAAGGTCGGCTATGTGTCCTTGCTGATGGGGGAAGGGGGGAGGGGGGGAGGCGAGCGAGAGGTGCGTCGCCTAGGCCAGAGCGATATCGCCACGCGCGGGGGTTCTCTATTTGGGGGCGGGGCTGTGGAGTGGGTATGTGCGCTGGTTGGAGGCTCAGTCGCGGAAGGTGCGCATGACCAGCTTGAAGAGAGACCGTGCGGCGAAGGAGAAGAAGTAGGCCGACGCCAGGACAATGGCCGTTGGCAGGAGAACCGAGGAGGCAAGGGTGCCGGCAGTGATGGCGGCGGACGACTCCTTCGTGGATGGGTCCTCGGTGGGCGGGCTGGAAGCGGCGCCGCAAATGCAGGGGCAAACACAGGTGGCTGGGCGGGATGGGTTCTGAGAGGAGGGGGGGCAGGAGGAGGGGGAGGAGGAGGACACCGTCATGGCAGGGTGAACGGGGAGGCGGCAGGCGAGGCTAAGGGAGGCAGGCGAGAAGGATGCTCGCAGTGTGACCAGGGGGCAGGGGACATCAATGGACAGACGAGGCAAGAGTCCTCAGATACGTGCGCTGGGCCGGTCTTTTCGAGAGGCCGGGTAACCGGCGGGAAAAAGGGTCCTGACACCTCGCCGACGATCGTCGGGCAGCTTTGGGAACTTCTCTGGACCGATCCGTTGGCATAGTGTTACGGGCGGTCAGGCGCGAAGTGGTCATGTGGAGGTCAGTCCTGCCTCCCGCATCCGTGATCCCTGCGTAATGTCGTTTGGGGCTGAATCATCGCCAGTGTTGAGGGCGGGGGGGGGGGGCTGTCCTACGCGGAGGTCGCGGACGGGCGTGCGGCACGCGCATGCATTGCTCGGCACCGGGCCGGAAGTGGGGAGGGGAGACACACGGGAATAGCGAAGCAGCCGGGCTCTTTTTCTGTCTCTTTTTCTTTTCCGGCTTCCCGCCACAGCTGAGCCGGGGGGCGGACACGCACGGGGCCTTGCTCAGGGCGGGCGACCGCCGGCCGCCCTCCTTTCCGCGAGGCAGCGACATGTTCCGGAGCTCCCCATGCTTGCACCTTCTTTTACAGAGCCGGGCGTGCGAGACCGTGCGCCCTCAACTGGGGCCCAGCCAGCGAGGGGCGGGCCGAGGGAGAGAGTGGGGGGAAGGGAGGAGGTGCGCACCTGGGG